CCCGAGGTCCTTCATCAGCCAGCTTACCAAGCTCACCCCTCTACAGCACTGCAGGCCCAACCTTCCCCCCTCAGTCCCCCGAGGTCCTTCATACATCAGCCCTCCAGGGGCTGCCTAGTAACGATGGAAGGGAAGGTACATCCCATGAAACCCTGTAAGTTGCCAATACTACAGGAACTAACTCCTTCTTTTTTCTCTGCGTGGTGGACAATTCATTCATTCAACAAATATTTATTAAATACTGTGTTGCTGTTGTGTGCTGTTGAGTCAATTCTGACTCACAGCAACCCTATAGGACAGAGTGGAACTGCCCTATAGGGTTTCCTAGGCTGTAATCTTTATGGAGCAGATTGCTGGGTCTCTTCTCCCATGGAGCAACTGGAAGGTTTGAACTGCTGACCTTTCTGTTAGCAGCCAAGTGCTTAACCATTGCACCACTAGGGCCTCTCAAATACTATGTAGTAGGCACTTTTCTAGGTATCTGGGAATACAGCAGAGAATATGAATGCTAAATTAACAAGGCCAGGCACTAACCAAGACGGGCAGAGTCTGGGATGGGCATTTGGAACCAAGCCTAAGGGGCCAACAAACAAGACCAGACAGACCCAACTTCTGTCCTTCCCCTGGAATGCAGAATCTAGGAATCAGAGGACATGGGTTTTATGCTGCTTCCACCACTAATTTTCTGAGTGCCCTTAGACCAGCCACTTGCATACCCCAAGCTTCAGTTTCCTCACATGTAAAATGGGGAAAAATAAGAGCAGCTTTACACAATTTATTATTATTACCATGATGCTATCAGCATAATTCAGTCAGGATTTCATACTTTGGACGGACCTTGACTGGTACAATAGACACATTCTAGAAATGGTTATGCGTTGATGGAGCTTTTATGAAACAAATCCTATTTGAAATGAGCCATCAGTGTTCACTATTTAAAACAGTATGAATGTTCTGATAAAACTGACCACCATCCTCTAAATGTCTGATGTTTAATACATGTCCAGCTATGGTTGACAATGGACCAAATAGGGTGGAGCCCACTGGGATTCTACAGGTGGGCTCATTTCACCGGACACAGTGTCATCACAGGACCAACTGAAGAGACGGGAAAACAGACGATGAAAAGGGGAGTTTTAGAATATTTAGAAGTGGAGGGAGAAATGTGCAGAAGATACGTTGTTGGATGCTATCGAGTCGATTTTCAACTTAGGGTGGCCCCATGTGACAGAGTAGAACTGCCCCCATAAGGTTTTCTAGGCTGTAATCTTTATGGGAGCAGATCACCAGGTCTTTCTCCTGAGGAGCCACTGGGTGGGTTCGAATCACCAACCTTTCGGTTAGCAGTTGAGGCTTAACAAGTTCCCAGGAATTTATACATAAGAACCACCTGGGGACCTTGTTAAAATGTAGATGCTGATTCAGTATATCTAGGGTGGAAATACAAATTCTCAGCAGGGGTTCAAACTGGAATGAACCAGCTCGAATCCCTGGTTTGTACTGGGGTACTTCCTCACTTTCCAGGGCACTGTGTTGAGAAGGATTCTGAGGCTGCATCCACGTCTACCATGACTGGGGGAGGGCAGTGGGGCATACTGGCTCTCAGGCTACCTACCTGCCAGTGCTGGCCTAGGTACTCTCCAGGGGAGGGCAGTGGGGCATACTGGCTC